GGTCTCGAACTGCTGAACTACTGACCTTCCACAGCCTGCAGTTCAGCGCCTTAACCACTTGAGCCACCGCAGCTCTGCATTAATAGCATCCCCTATAATGTTGTGTGGAATCCTGAGTGTGCCTCTTTGACTGCAAAATGCTTGTGCGGGCTCTATGTAGCATAGATTATTGGGAGACAAAACAACAGATAATATTGTGACTGATATGCATTGTACAGGTTATTTGCAAAATGTGACGGTTTTTTTTTTTTTTAAATCTCTTATCTCCTGTTACAAAGTAGAAGACAGGTGCATTTCAGGGTTCATCAAAACGCAGTTTATCTCCCCCACACACACTCCTTTCCCGCATGGGAGGTAAATAATTGGTATACTTCATTTTGTACTTGTGTTAAGTATCCTGCGGAACTACGTGTCACATGATTTTGCATTGAGACAGGGATCCTTCCATCTATCACAGAAGGAAAGGATGTTTTTAAAAAAGAATGAATTGGATTTATGATGCCTGTTCAGCAAATTGCTTTTTTAAAAAATGTGTGACTTTTTCCATCATTGCTGAGGTTAAGAATGGTCTTGAGTCTACCACTCAGTCAGCACTTAAAATGAATAATTAAAATACCACTGCATAATTGAAATAGATAAGGGACATAAACCTTCTGAGCCACAGGACATAAACCAGGTTCCCTTCTCTCCCCTGGATGAATTATTGAGGTTTTTCACACCTTCCCCATGAGCACCAAAGGCAAAGATGCTTACATTTCCAAAGGTCCATCAAACTGATGCTCAAGGGCAGTTGAGCTTCCCCTCCCCCCTTTCATGCACAAGTGGTAAGAGTTGTAGTATTATATGCACATGAAACTGCCTTATACTGAATCGGAATCCATGGTCCATCAAAGTGAGTATTGTCTACTCAGTATTGTCTACTCAGACTGGCTCTGGCTCTCCAAGGTCTCAAGCAGAGGTCTTTCACATCACCTACTGCCAGGTCCTTTAAACTGGAGATACTGGGGATTGAACCCGGGACCTTCTGCACACCAAGCAGATGCTCTACCACTGAGCCACAGTCCCTCCACCACTGAGCCACAGCCCCTACCCCTTGTGAGGTGTTGAGTGATATGTTTAAAGAAAATTCCATTAAGTCCACATTCTAAAAGTTTAAAAGTTGGAAGGGAGGTGGGCAGGGCAGACTGGAACAGTAAGATGGACCAGGAGAGATCTGAGCTAGGGGGACCACAGCGAGCGCCAGTGACAGCCGTGGGTGAAGGCTTGCCCATCACCTCTTTCTACACTGCTCTCAGCCAGGCCCAGCCTTAGCACAATTGCCATTCAGGCACTGAAGCAGTGAACTAGACTTCACTCATCAAGGCTTGCCAGGCTCAGGCTCAGGCCCTAGAACCATAGAATCAGAGAGTTGGAAGGGACCTCTAGGGTCATCTAGTCCAACCCCCTGCACAACGCAGGAAATTCACAACTACCTCCCCCCCACCCCGTGACCCCTGCTCCATGCCCATGGCATGGTACAAAACCCTCCAGGATCCCCGGGCAAACTGGCCTGGAAAAAATTGCTTCCTGACCCCAGAGTGGCAATCCACATTTCCCTGTTATGCTGCCACTGGTGGTAGGGTTGCCAACCTCCAGGTGGGGCCTTCAAGATCTCCTGGAATGACAACTGATCTAGAGAGGTCAGTTCCTGTGGACAAAGTGGCTGCTTTGGAGGTTGGATTCTATGGCATTATACCACACAGAGGTCCCTCCCTCTCCAAACTCCGCCCTCCCCAGGCCCCTCCTGCAAATCCTCAGGAATTTCCCAACCTGCAGTTGGCAAACCTTACTGGTGCTCAGCTTCCTCCTGGCTGCCAGTGGGCTGCCCAGGAAGCAGCCTGACAGCCTCTTTCCTGGTATGTGAAAAGACCGATCTGTCTTTGAAGGAGAGCAAAGTTCAAGAATCAGCACTGGCGTGTTAGTGAAAGTCAAAGCTCACGAGTAGGCAAGAGCCGCTCCAGGAGTCCAGTCAGACCTTTGGCTAAGCTCACGAAGTTGCTGAGCCAGCAGCCACTGAATGCAGATGTGCTGTCCAAGAGCCCTTCTGACGTTTCCACAACCACAAGTTCCCATGGTGGTTTACAATAGCTAGGAATGCATCCCTGGAGTGGGCATGGAGGCGGCACTGGTGGCACTACACTTTCTAAGTCATTCAGTATAGCACATGGAGTGTTTGCAGGATGCAATGCCCTCCTGAAAGAAAGGACCTGTGTGCACTGTGTGCAGAAAACGGCAAACAAATGTGTTTTTAATATCAGGCGTACTTAGTTAGAAATATTTATATTCTGCCTTTTTGTATGATAACCGCCTCCAAGGTTGCTAAGCCTGAGGTTGCCCACTTGATTCCAAAGATATTACTCCCTTGGTATGAGGGCCTGGGCAGAATCAGGCTTGGTGGGGCCAAGGGGCATCAGTGTGGGGAGTAGAGCACGGGGGGGGGGGATGTCTGTAGGGTAAATGGAAGATCTGGGTCAGTAATTTGTATAGGATTGTCAGCTCTGGGTTGGGAAAATACCTGGAGATTTTGGAGGTGGAGCCTTGAGGAGAGGGTGGGGTTTGGGAAGAAGAGCGGCTTCGATGGGGTTTAATGCCACAGAGCATTCCTTCCAAAGCAGCCATTTTCTTCAGATGAATTGACCTCTGTCACCTGGAGATCAGTTGTAATCCCAGGAAACCTCCAGCCACCACCTGGAAGTTGTATCAATATAAAGAATCTCCATGAATGACTTTACCTGAGTTCTCCCTTTCCATCAAGTACTTTTTGATCCTAGCTCTTTAATAAGACTATATAAGGGTCTGTGGAACTTTAACAAAGATTTAAGAACTGTTTGAATTGTTTTGCACAATATAATCTTTCTGCTTTTGTTCGTATTTCATTCACGGAGTGTCTTTATATTGATACAGTCTCCTCCCGTGAGCTCTCATTTTGATATACTACCTGGAAGTTGGCAACTCTAAATTTGTGCACCCTGGGAACAGCCAGGCAGAGTGTGGGAATTGACTAGGTTTTCAGACCTCCAACACTGGTTGCCTGACTGAACATAGTTTCATGAGTTTGCAGATTCCAAAAATAAAAGTCGTGTAATGCCTTTGTATTATGTTGTGCAGGCTTTGGAGTTTCTCAGAGCCCTTCATCAGGCTGGGAAGAGGGAGGGTATAAAAATGTAGGACAGAGAAAAAGATGGGCAGGTTGAAAAAGCCCTCAGTCTGCAGCTTCTAGGAATCCAGAATGCATTAGCCTTAGGGCGCTTTCATGCGGGCAAACAATGCACTTTCAGTCCACTTTCAATGCACTTTAGCAATCATTTGCAAGTGGATTTTGCCCTTTCAGACAGTAAAATCCAGTGTGAATTAAAAGTGTGTGATGTTGAGTGCAACCAGGTATTAGGATTTCTGTTATTAAAACCTGAGTAGCTCGCGTCCCCCAACCCCCTCCTCTATGAACTGGGAACACTAATGAGAACCAATGAACGAATGCCATAAAAGTAGCAGCAACCCAAGACCACAACACCACCCTGGCTGCCGTTGACAGGAATTATATATATTATTCTCTTCAAAAGCAACCAGAGCAGAAATGCTCCAGAATTCATTATGTGGGAAGAGGAAATCTGGAATGTATAGTTTGTGGTGGGGAAAGGAATAGTTTTCCCATCTCATTTTCTTTAACTACTAGCTACTAGTAGAGTTTAGCATCTGAAGAGAATCTTACCAAACCACGAGAATCATGCTGCCAGTTTTAAACTACCAAAAATTTGTGTTTTTATTCCCCTACTTTAGACAGTTTCAAAGAGATGCCCCCCCCCGCGCCTGGAACAGAAAGATGTCTGCACATGCTCAAAAGCATTGTCCTTTACGCTGTTTTTTTTTAAAGAAAGGAAAGGCACTTTGCCCATGCTTGAAAGGCATGTTGTCTGTAAGCCTTTTTTAAAAGTTACTGTTTCTCTCAGGGAAAGGCACTGTGCGTATGTTCCAAAGCACTCTGTTGGAAGTTACAGAAATTTGTAAAACAATAGCACATCCAGCTATCAGTTCTATGACGAATTCACAAACTAAGAGCCTGGAAAAAGAGGCAAGCTGGCAGAAATAGACCATTCGTTCGTGTAGGAAAGCACCAACGCTGTTTTTCGGAAGGGCACTTGTGGCTGGCTTCTCTGAAGTGAGGCTGGACCACAGCGTTGTTGTCATGGTGATCCTCCTCTCCCTCCGGCATCCTGGACTGCCCTGCCAGTGGAGTGAAGGAGACACTCCCAGCACTCCTGCTTCCTCCTCCCTCCTCCTCCCCTCCTTCTGTGGCTTTCTCAGGGTGGGAGCCGGATGATATTTTATAGCTGCCCTTGTAGCCAATGGCATTGCAGACGGCCGAGATGCCAGCACCCTGGGAAAGCTCTCTGCTCCGTCATCGGTGCACTGCAGGGCGCGGGGGATGCCCCTTAGGAACTGGGGCTGACCCTGCTGTGTCTACCTGCCTCCTGCACGGGTCCAGGGCACCGACTTCCTTGACTCAGCTGGATCCAGAAAGGCTTTTAGCGATGACATGATCTGCCTCTGGGAAGGAGCTCGAGCTGTGCCGGGAACTTGCTACAGCAGCTGCTGGGGAAGTTTTGCCTTCCAAGTTGTGAAAGTTTTGGCGTTGTTTTTTCCTTCATGATCCAAAGCAGCAACAAGCCCCTCTTGGGTGCAGCCACCTTTCCTCTCCCTCTCCCTGCCTCTTTCCCACCCCCTCTGCCCTGCAAGGGGCAAACCTGAAGGGAGGCAGTGGCTCGTCAGTCTTCCCAAGGTGAGGACTCCAAGATGTGAGGCTGCAGGGGGAAGGAGGTGAGGCTGCTGTTTTCTGCTGCAGACGGATTGCTCCCTGGCAGGCACCTTATCACTCTGGTTCCCAGGGGAGCTGAGCTGGCCCCGGGGGGTACAAGTCGCATGCCCCCAGAGTTGCACTGCCCGTCGCAGGACACTGGCCAGCAATGGCAATCCAGGGGATGGAACTTTGCGCCATGGCAGTGGTCATTATCCTTTTCATCGCAGTCCTCAAACAGTTCGGGATCCTGGAGCCCATGTCCATGGAAGGTAACTAGTCCCTGTACCTTTGCCTGGCTCTCCAAACCACCCGAGCCCCCCTCCGTTGCACCCATTTGCCTTCCCCCGCCGCAACCCTCCTTTCTTGACAAAGCTCTCCCCGGTGAATATATATGCTGGTTCTTGAAAGTAAGGCTTTCCGGAACACTTAGCTCTGCATTATCCAATTCTTCTGTTTCTGGCAAAAAACCATTTCTGGGCATTCTCATAACTTCTCTCTGGTTTCTTGGTGACATTTTCTGGTAGAAGCCCCCCTTCCCTTGTCCCTACTAACTGCTCTTCCTCTTGTGGTTTCTAAAGAATGTTGTGAGGGAAGGGATTGTCCCTTTGGAAGTCTGTTGTTTGCAGTGGGACTTTTAGGCGGGGAACGTAGGAGGAGAAAGTGATAAACTGCCCGAAATATTCCTTCTTGGTGGTTGAAAATTGACTTGGATCTCAGGATAACATCCCTTTCCCCTCCAAATCCAAACCTACTAGCTTTATTACTATAAACCGTGATCACAATGCATTTGTCAAAGCATTGGAGATTAACGGAACTCGGGATTTTAAAAATAGCCCCAAAAAGTAAGAGAGAAAAGATGCTTAAAGGTTAATGGCGCTGAGCTGTGCAGTTTGAGCCTGCGAATAAAGCTGGTGTTGGAGGAAACCCCTGTAGACTAATTAGATGCATAAGGATCTGAGCCTTATGCAGAAAGATTTCAAGTGACCCATAGGCATGCTGGGTTGGAAAAGTCATGTTATCTTCAGGATGTTTCAATAAAGAAGGTCTGGCTCTGGGCAGGGCTTGGATGGGTGATTACCAGGGAATACTGCATATGCTGCTCAATGGAGGCAAGGTGGGATATTCGTATAATTAGTAATCACAGTAATACAATGGGGGGGCCTCCTTCTTTGGAAATCCCCCACTGAATCCTTTGACACTGTAGGGTGCTTCACTGATCTCACATCTCCTGTGCTTAATTTTTTTTACTAAGTGCCAAGCACTCCCAAAGCACCCCTCAATCCAACCTTTGGATGGCACAGAACATGATCAGGAGCCATGCCTTGCATGGCATCTCTCAACCCAGATAAGGATGACCATTTCTAAATGATGAGGCAAGACTTGGGTGGATATAGCATAGTATTTCCCCCCAACCCCAGGCCGCATGGTGAAGTGGTGACGAGATTGATTTACCAGATTCAGATTTGCTACTACATGGCCGCATAGGTCATGTGGTTTCAGCATGACAGTGAGGTTGAAACATGGTGTGCAAAAGCAGTCACATGACTTTTACTTGTTTCCAAGAGAGCTGAAAGTGCTTCCCACGGGATACGAGAGCATGTCTCGTATCACATCTGATCCATCAGGTTTTGCAGGTTTTTTTAAACTACAGAAAACCCTGCTGAAACTGTTTAGAGGAGGCTAAAGTGGGATGAGTGCACACATTACTAGCAGTGATCCCTTTTCGAACATGGTTACCTGACAGTCCCTTCTGACCCCTGGAAAGTTGATTTCCAGAGTGGCAGGATTTACATGAACTAATAGCCATGTGGGTCAGGGAGCTGCAATGAGAAGGAGGAGGAGCAAAGTAGCCCTCTCCTCCCTCTTCTGCAAGCATAGCTCAACTGATGGAAGAGGAGGAAAGAACATTTTTGCCCTCTGACTTGCAAGGGCCATATAGGTCCTGTAACTCCGGACGTCAATATTTCAGGTATCGGGACTGCTTGGAGAAAGGGAACAACGCAAAAATCCAAACCCACCAGAGCCCATTTGGTATAGTGGTTAAGAGCAGCGGACTCTAATCTGGAGAACCGGGTTTGATTCCCCACTTCTCCACATACAGCTGCTGGTGTGACCTTGGGTCAGTCAAAGTTCTCTGAGAGCTGTTCTCTCATGAGCAGTTCTTTCTCAGCCCCACCTACCTCACAGGGTGTCTGTTATGGGGAGAGAAAGGGAAGGAGATTGTAAGCCACTCTGAGACTCCAAGTGGAGGATGGGGTATAAATCCAATCTCTTCTTTTTTCTTCTTCTCTTATTACTATCAGAATGCTGGATCCAATATATTGTCTGTTTTCAGCTCCTGGGTTAGATCTCCCCATCTTTTCTGCTGGACTCTATTCAAGGTGCTGACTTTGGCCTTTAAAACTTTTAAATGGGCTGGAACCAGGTTACTAGAAGCAGGACCTTTTGAGTTGTGGCACCCCAACATTAGCATATATCTCCTAGCTATTTGCCTCCAGTAGCAGGCAAAGATGTTTCTGGTTACCCATGCTTCTTGCCACTTGGGTTATCTGGTTTGCTTGGACTTCGGGTTTTGCAGACTGTTGCTTTGTTTTCTGCTGGTGTTTAAAATCCCAAGTGTTGCTATATTATTTTATAGTTAAAAATTCATTTTATTGATGTTAATTTAATAAAGATGTTTTGAGTTAATCCTGGGGGGGGGCAAATGGGGTTATAGCTTTAATATTTGGCTTCCCCTCCTCCTTCTGTCCTCACAACTGTTTGGCTCTGATTGCAAAGGCTTGAAGCAGGTGAAAGATTCCTCAGAAACAAGGAGTTTGCCCAGTAGCTGGAGAGCAGGTCCAGTCTTCTCAGGAGCACTGAGGTGCTACGTCCAGGCTCACAGAAGCAAGCTGGCTGTACAAATGGCCAAACTAGCAGTGCTTGGTGCTTAGCCTAGGGTTTAAATATCCTGGAGAGCAAGAAGCCACTCCTGATCTTGGGCTTTATCTGGCCAGGGCTTGGTCACATCACTACATGCACTTAGGCAGTGATCTGGCCAGCCTAGTGCTTCTATGTTGATGAGTTAGTTGCCTTTTTGTGGGCCCGCCATCTCTATTGCTCCCAATGGGTGGAAGAAGAACTTGGGGGACTGGGAGTCCAGGCTCTGGCCCTACAAGGCAGGGAGGTGGCTGCCCTGGAGTCTGCCATGTTGGCAGCATCACCTGGAGCTAAGCCTTCAAGGGCAGGCCCTTCAACTGAGGCTTTGGGGTCCAGGGGCTCTGGGTCTGGAAGGAGTTCTAGCTCTGGTCTAGTGGTGCCGGGTGTCCCCTGAGCCTCCTGGTCTTCCCCCAGGGTGCTCTCCGGCTCATCCTGGTCATCCTCTGAGGAATCTGCTCCTGAGTCTGAGTCCAGCTCAGGAGGGCTCACAACAACAGCACCCCTGTGATATGTCAGGTGAGGACAAACTGAAGCACAACCATGCAGTCCACTTCATGCCTAAACAGGAATTCGAACTTGGATCTCCCCAGCATTGAACAGCTCTGACCACTTTTCCACACAGCTTTTGATTCCCCTACAGATCTGGTAATAGAACGTAGGACCTCTAAGCAAAAGAGTTTTGTTCCATGTGGGCGTCAGCTCTCACGCTTCTCATTTGAGGGATTAAATCCCCAGGCCAATAGATGTGCTGCGAGCAAGAGGAATACAGCTCACATAGAAAATGGGACATTTCTCTCTCACCTGTCTGAAAGATCGAGTGAGCTTTCTTGCCACAAGTGCTACATGCAAACTTCGTTATAGACTAGGGTTGCCAACAACCTGGAGGAAAAAGTATTGTGCCCCTTTAACAGAGGGCTTAATGAGATGTTATTTACTACATGGTATTATTTACCTCTGTACCAGGAAAAGCTCCATGTTAATGGTCCATTTCCACATATTAAGTCTCCATTAAAGGGGCAAGACTTTTTTCCCTCCAGGTTGTTGGCTATTGTAGACAGCACTGGAAAAGCAGTGAATTCAGAACTACCTGCCACTTCAGCTGTGATTTGCCCTGTTTGTAAGATTTTCTGGGATTACAGTTGATTTACAGGCAACAGAAATCAGTTCAACTGGAGGAAATGGCTGCTTTGGAAGGTGGACTGTATTGCATTATACCCCATCAAAGCCTCTCCCCAAACCCCGCCCTCTTCAAGCCTCGCCCCCAAAATCTCCCAGTATTTCCCAACCTGGAGCTGGCAACCCTACCTGTTTGTATGAAACAATGTGAGCCTCTCTCAATAGAAATGTTGGTTCCTTAGTGGTAGATGATCTGCCTGTCTCCCACAAAGGTAAGTATGCATGTGCTTTAGTAACTCAACTGTAAAAATAAAAATGGTGATCTGTTAGAAAAATCCCATGCTTGAAAAGTAGAGAAATACTTTGAAGAGGAACAAACAAAATCAGAAAGTAGTTATGCAGTGTATGGGGTCCACCAGAACTCTTTTTCAGGCTACTAAGCAAAAAAGGGAGGGAAGGGAAGGGTAGATGCAGATGATGTTTCTAAGGTAGATGCAGATGACGACTTCCATTTATGTCCAAAAACGACCTTTTCTCTCTGCCACTTTTGTATTTTGTTCTGGTAGACTTGGAAGCTTGTACACTGTGCTTTGATTTTTGGCTGTTCCTGATTAAAAATATTGCTTTACTATAAGAGCATTCAAAGAAGTGAGGTTTCCCATCACCAGTTAGTGGACTGCTATCTCCCAGCAAGAACAGTACAGCAAAGGGTAGAACAGCTTAAAAATGCAAGCTAAAAACACATCCCCTTCCTTATTCTCAAAGAGTTTTCCTTCCACATCCTTTCCTTTGTGGGAATAGCCTCTTAGACTGTAAACCTGAGAGCAGGGCTTGTGTCTTTCATGTCACTCATGAGCAGTGCCTGAATTCTATAGGCACTCCAGAAATTATAATTGACATTGTGCTTCATATTCATGAGTTCAGGAATCTTTACAGCAACCCTGTAAGGTAGGGCAGTTCAATCATCCTGTTCAAACCAGGGATTAAACCTGCAGAGAGGAGAGTGTTTTCCCTAAGGCCACCTAGTGAGTTTGCAGCCCACCAAGATTTGAACTGAGGAGGGCCCGGCACACCCCATACCAGGAGCAAGCCAAGAGGGCCTTTTTGGTAGAGTCCCCATATTTCCCTGGAGATCTCTGTAGGTATATCCATCCATCCTTTCCTCATCTCGGTACAATGTGGAGGCAGAGGTATCAGTAACCACAAAGTCATTTTAGCAGCTGATAATAAAATA